AGGGAGCTAAAGCAACAGTTACAAGATTTGTTAGATAAGGGTTTTATTAGACCTAGTGTATCACCATGGGGTGCACCAGTACTGTTCGTAAAGAAGAAAGACGGATTCCTGAGAATGTGCATTGACTACAGGCAGTTGAACAAGATAACAATACGCAATAAATATCCTTTGCCTCGTATAGATGACATGTTTGATCAGTTACAAGGAGCTGCCCACTTTTCAAAGATTGACCTCCGTTCTGGTTATCATCAACTTAGAATCAAAGATGAAGATATTTCTAAGACTGCTTTCAGAACTCGATACGGGCACTATGAGTTTCTCGTGATGCCTTTCGGACTGACAAATGCTCCAGCTGCATTCATGGATTTAATGAATAGGGTGTTCAAGCCGTTTCTGGATAGATTTGTAATAGTCTTTATTGATGATATCTTGATATATTCTCGTAGCCAAGGAGAACACGAGGATCATCTCAGGACTGTGTTGCAGACATTACGAGAGCATCAACTTTATGCTAAGTTCTCGAAGTGTGAATTCTGGCTAGACTCGGTAGCATTTCTGGGGCATGTTGTATCCAAGGATGGAATTATGGTAGATCCTAAGAAGACTGAAGCTGTGCAGAAATGGCCCAGACCTACTTCTCCTACAGAGATTCGCAGCTTTTTAGGCTTAGCAGGCTATTACAGGCGTTTTGTGCAGGATTTCTCCAGAATAGCAGCGTCGCTGACCAAGCTAACACAAAAATATGTAAAGTTTCAATGGACGGAGGAATGTGAGCAGAGCTTTCAAAAACTCAAAACATGTTTGACAACTGCACCAATATTAGCCTTACCATCAGGTTCTGGAGGATTTACAGTATTCTGTGACGCCTCGAGGGTGGTATTAGGATGTGTCCTCATGCAAAATGGTCGTGTTATTGCCTATGCTTCGAGACAATTGAAAAAGCACGAGCAAAACTATCCTACACATGATTTGGAGATGGCTGTAGTGGTATTTGCTCTAAAAATATGGAGACATTATCTATACGGCGAAACTTGTGAGATTTATACTGACCATAAAAGTCTGAAGTATATCTTTCAGCAGAGAGATCTCAATCTTTGGCAGCGTCGTTGGATGGAATTACTCAAGGACTATGATTTTTCTATTTTGTATCATCCTGGAAGTGGCTGATGCATTGAGTAGAAAATCTATGGGGAGTTTGGCACATATAGCCCCTGCAAAGAGACCTTTGGCCAAAGATATTCAGAGACTAGAAGATACAGGTATCAGATTTAGTGTCGGAAATTCAGAGGCATTGTTGGCTTGTGCTCAGGCTAAGTCTTCATTAGTTGAGCGCATTAAGGCCACCCAATATGAGGATGAACGATTATGTAAATACAGAGATGAGGCCTTAGCTGGTAAAAGCAAGGATATGATTGTTGAAAGTGATGGTATTCTTCGAATGGGTGACAGGCTATGTGTAGCAGACGTAGATGGGTTAAGACATGTTATTCTTAAAGAAGCTCACAACACTAAATACACTATACATCCTGGATCCACAAAAATGTACCATGACCTGAAGCAATTTTATTGGTTGGAAGGTATGAAGAAAGATGTTGCTAACTTTGTTTCTAGTTGTTTGACTTGTCAGCAGGTCAAGGCTGAGCATCAGCGACCCGCAGGACTACTACAATAAATTGAGATTCCAGAGTGGAAATGGGAAAGAATTACTATGGATTTTGTCACCGGGCTACCACGAACCCTTAGAGGTTATGACTCGGTATGGGTGATTGTGGATCGACTGACAAAATCAGCACACTTTTTGCCGGTGAAGACTACATATGAAGGAGTCAGGTATGCACAGATATTTATGAACGAAATTGTCCGGCTTCACGGAGTTCCAATATCCATCATCTCTGATAGAGGATCACAATTAACCTCACGCTTTTGGAAATCTTTCCAAGAAGCATTGGGTACACGAGTAGATCTTAGTACTGCATTTCATCCACAGACAGACGGGCAGTCTGAACGTACTATACAGATCTTGGAGGATATGTTAAGAGCTTGCATTCTAGAGTTTGGAGGTAGTTGGGATGCTTATCTACCTTTAGCTGAATTTGCTTACAACAATAGCTTCCAGTCCAGTATTCAATGGCACCGTACGAGTCATTTTATGGTAGGAGATGTCGTTCTCCTATCGGATGGTTTGAAGCTGGTGAGACTAACTTATTGGGACCCGACCTAGTACAAGAAGCTATGGACAAAGTCCAGCTGATCAGACAGAGATTGCTTACAGCTCAAAGTAGACAAAAGTCTTATGCTGATAAGAGAAGAAGAGATTTAGTATTCACAATTGGGGACAAAGTTTTCCTACGAGTCTCCCCTATTAAAGGTGTAATGCGGTTTGGGAAAAGAGGCAAGTTGTGCCCCAGGTTTATAGGATCGTATGAGATATTAGACCGAGTGGGAGCGGTGGCTTATCGTTTGGCACTTCCTCCTGAGTTGTCCTTTATTCATCCAGTGTTTCATGTCTCAATGCTAAGAAAATGTATATCAGACTCATCTCAGGTGATTGAAGCACCGACTATACCACTCGATGAGAGGTTGTCTTACGAGGAGGAGCCAATGGATATTGTTGATAGACAAATAAGAAAACTGCGATCAAAAGAAATCGTGTTCGTGAAAGTCTTATGGAGAAATCATACAGTTGAAGAAGCTACTTGGGAAATAGAAGATACTATGCGAGTCCAGTACCCCCATTTGTTTTAGTCTACAAGTACGTACTTGAGTTAAATTCGGGGACCGAATTTCATAAGGTGGGGAGGATGTAATACCTTATATTTTTAAATAAGGGTGTATTGGTAATAATAATAATAATAATAATAATAATAATAACAACAACAAATTATAAGAAAATAACAAAAAAAAATAAAAAGAAAAATTAGGCAAAAAGGGGCCGAAGCCCATCTGCCAACAGAAACAAAAAGGGCAAAGGTGGCTGCCCAATTCAAAGAAGCAAAAGCTTCAACGGAACAAAGAAAAAACGCAAAGAAAAAGAGCAGAGAAAGAAAGAAGGAAAAGAGAAAGAAGGAGGAAGAAGTGGGTGCAGTGTATTGGAGCCATAGCTATAACTGTTGAGGAATCTTAAGCACAAATTGTCTCTTACGGGTATTACTTGAATATTTTCTTCTGGTAGATTTTTATTTCGATTCTCTTGATTGGAAGATCTACAGAGTAATAGAAATTACACTAGTTCATTCACAAAATTGAGAAATTTCTTTCTAAAGAACCAATAGAACTTTATGAAATTTGGAGTAATAAATTATATGAATAGGTTGGAGTTGATAAATTAGTAATTACTCATATGGGGGTAAATATAAATCCATAAATTTAGATCCAAACATGAACCCCGATGATTGGGTGTTCTAAAATAGCTATGAATTAGCCTAAATAAGAAAATTAACATGAGATCGATATTATGTAATTATAGATTGATTGGAGAAATTTGTACGAGTTGCTTGAGGTGAAGCAGTTGGTATTTCGGCACGAGTACTGTGAGTAGTAATCTTACCATAATTTGTGTTTTCATAACCTGCACGGTTTATATATGATTTTCAAAAATAAATGTATTACCGATGCTTTGAAATTGCATGTGGGACAAGTCCTTTACTTGATATGATACCGAATAGTTTACTTGAGATGTTTACCGATTAATCAAAATATTTTCACTGTTACTAGACATGTTTTACCGTTACTTGAGACATGATTACTGTTACCGAAATAAAATTACAAGATTTGATAAGGAATGATATGCCCTTTATTATTTTGAAAATGCTTTTGTACGAGTATTTACTATTTACAAGAAAGAGTATAAATGGGAGGAGACTTTGAAGGATCCCGTAGCTAACGGCGGGTTCTTTAGACCTGGTGCACCTTGTATTTACAGATTACCGATTTCAGTTATAGCCCTCGGTAGTGGGAAGGTAGAACTAGCATACAGTTACAGTTTTCCCTCGAGTAGGGACTTACAGTTATACTTGACTCCTTTTATGAAGGGGTCCACACAGTGATACAGATTACATGATCCTTTTCTGAAATCTCCCAAATATAAAGATTTGCTATGACACAGTATTTATCGAGTTTATTACTGAATTGTTAAATTGATTTTGTTACAGGAAACACGTGATGAGATTGATTATTATTACCGTTTTAAAAAGGGCATTTTATTTTGTGATTATTATGCAAGCATGTTTTCTGACTTGTCCCCAAATAAAAACGGTTGTGGTTAAGTGTTATTACTCACTGAGCTAGCGACTCATTCCCCGCTAATTTTTTTTTTACAGAGACAGCAGTTGACGCAGACGAGGATTTCGTTAATTAGAGCGCACAGGTTGAGAATTCTTGATGAGCCTCGCACTTGTTCGCGTGGGCGGAGATTTTTATCATTTGTTATGGTCGTTTCTTCAAACTCTTAGAGTCGCTCCATAGTCAATAATTTAGTGTCATGAGTATTCTTTTGTTAGTATAGTCTTATGTTGAGTATCATCCTTTATTATGAAAGTTGGAGGTAAATTAGTATTTCTGGTTGTTAGTGTGTTGATTAGTAATGGTGGAGACTTATTTTAGGCTAATTGGTAAGTTGTAAATTGCCAGTTGAATTGCTATTAGGTTGTTTGGTTGCTGATTTGAAACAGGAAATTGTTGGGATGGTCCAAAAATAGGGAAAACTCTGCCCAATTTTCTGTAAAATTACCGATGAGGCTTACTTGGGAGCACTTGCTCCTAAGCATCGGTCACGGTCCTAAATTGGGTCGTGACATGATTCTTGCAGTCTTGCTACTCCTCAATTAAAAGAAAAAGCAGAATAACCTATCAAACACCACCAAAGATTTCATTTTTGACAACAAAGCAAAAAGGATATCAATAACAAGTACTATTAATAATTATACCTTGCATCTCCAGGTTGTGAAGACAACAATAGATAGCATGTCGACGTTAATTAGAATAGTGGTTCCTGAATCTTCCAGTAAGATAAATGAACTTTCTTCCGGGAGAGTTTTCGCTTAGTCGTTCCAAGAGAATTCCTGCTACAACCAAGAAATGACCAAAATAATAAAATACTCCAAATAAGATTACTCCAGAATATCATCAAAACCGGGGTGTATATCCATTTCAAAATTTCAGTCAATTTTGCCACCTTAGATTTCGCATACCATAGTTTAACTCTGCACTATTTAGGTTATAATAAAGACAATATTCATCAAAGAGATAATGCATGTGTAAATGAGGTTTAATTACTAACGTGTATGTAAAAAATCTACGAAGAAATTACATCTAAAAGAATTATAAACTAACATATAACACACCAAATTGTGATTATCAATAACATAACGCAAGACCATGAAAAACCCAACTAATACTGATCAGAGTTAACCAAAGGCTGAAGAGAAAATAATCATAGACTGAAGAAAATAATCAGTATAGAGGACATGAATATGTAAGTGATAAAGAGAAATGCAGAGAAATAGGAAAAAGTGAATTAATAGACTTCTTTAACATTTAACTTTAAAATAGAAAATACTCCTCATTCACACCTTTTTTTATAGTACAATCTTCGTCGATGTTTTAAAATCCTTCTACCATCAAGAGATGCAAGAGACGTGCCTAAAATGCAGTGCAAATCGACATAGGATTAACAAATATCAGAAAAAAATTTCAAAATTCCAAATAATCAGTTAAATGAACCATTATAGTATAATGTGGTCTTATATATATAAACCATAGATATATTAGTTAACTCCACACCCATTCTATTACTGTAAGCCAAAAAAAAAAAAACAGAAAATCAAGTTCGCTTTAGTTGTTCTTATATAAATTAAGAGGCACATGTTCATATCACATCATATCATTGAAGAACTAAGCTCTTGGGTAGTTTTATTTTGGTGTGAACTGGTCACAATTGGAACCATTTAATCAGAGAAATTCTCAAGTGAGTCAGAGATTAATGAATATGTTACTTTAAAGTTAGCTTTATAAGTTGACAATTAGCGCGTAAATTGTTACTAATGAGGATAGCCAACCCCAACTATTTGGGATAGAGGCATAGTTGTTTGGCAGTATGATGGCTCCATATCCAGTCATTGTTACATCCTCACTAGTTAATTATGAAGTAGTATGAGTTTTCTCCATTAGTTAAGCAATATTGAAAAGTTAAAGGCCAAAAAAACCTAACAGGAGGATGCAACTAAGCATGTTAGAAGTAAGGACTGAAAGAAAGTAGTTAAGCTGTAGTTTGACAGAAACACTCATACAACTGCAATTAAAATAAGCTACATTCAACTCAAAATAATACAGCCACATTTAAAATGGCATAAAAAGTTTGTACATAAAGTGAAAGATGAAGTATAGCAGTGTGTCCTTTTTCACCACTCTTCAATAACATTGGCAGCAATAGTAGCAGAGAGTTGGCATTTCCCTTTTGCTGTAGAAGTTTAATGTCGAACTTGGGTAGCTGTGCACTTAGGTGTAGGGCAATCTGGAAGGAAATACCTGCTAGTTTTCACTCTTAGGTGTTCAACACAAATTACTATGCTTTATTGATGCATATAGTCTTTTCACATCACATGGCTTGAATTTGAGTTGCTAATTTTACACGGAATGGAATCATCTAAATATGATTCAAAAATCACCGCAGTCATGGTGGTCGTCAATTTTAGACTTCACTAAGCGATTCAATAGATTTATTTAAGAAAATCGAACAAATTATAAGAAATGCTTCTGGAAGGGGTGAGAGAAAAGAGAGATAACATAAGGCAAAAGGATATGTGAAGGATAATTTATGGATTCCACCTTGGCTCTATTGACTCTGTACTTTGAATTGCGCTCCATCTGCACACAGCCTACCAAATAAATACAGTATACCACATCTATTTACTCAATCTTAATGAAATAGGATAACAAAGCATCTACCAAATTTTCAGAACGATAAAGCGTTTCATTGGCACGACATAGGCCGCCATAAATAGAGAGATTGTTGGCCGAAAAAACTTAACTCAGCTTGTCATCAATTAGTCACCTCCTATTTAGATGTATTTAATACAAACACTAGGCTTTATACATATTATACTCTGCAAAAAACAATGATGACAAAAGTAAATTAGAGCAAAAAAGGCTGAGGAATAACAACCAGCCTTGCCATTGCTGCAACTTAAGTCGCCAAAATCAGAGCGATTCTTGGTCGGAAAAATAAACTTAGCTTGTCGTAAATTAATGTGACTCCTATGGTGATGTAGTTAGTACAAGCAATACTTGTTTGCATCAATGCCATGAGTTCATCTTCAATACTCACCCAATAATACCAGACATGATGAATCGATTTGTTTAGCAATAGTAGATATATATAACACATAAAATATCATTTACTAATACTGTCTAGTAGACATAAATAATGAACCTTTTGGATGGCTGATGCTGTCGAACAACTGGAGAGACTTGTAAAAAGAACAAATAAGAAAGTGCTCAGTAAGCATATTGTCAAGCCCTTTAGCTGCGTCAAAGTTCTCCTCTGTTTCAAAGTTCTCCTCTGTTTCAACAGATAACACAACTGCAGTGTGACCAGTGTTGGCAGTAGTGTGTCTGTGTGGGAACGTACGCATAAATTTCTCATAACGCATTTGAACAAAGAAGCACATGCATATATAGAATCCACCAAGAAAAGATAAAGAAAGATGAAAAACGATATCCGCCTTTGCAATTTAATCAAAATTTACCTAGAAGGAAAATAAGAACCTGCAATAAGGCAGAGAAGAAGAACCCAACCTGGCATTTATTAGCATTTTAAGAAGGATTTATGGCAGATAGCACATACTTTACTGCTCTTGGGCGTTGAAAACAATCACACCATAAAAATATCTGGAAAATTAAACTTTACTGCTCTTGGGCGTTGAAGAAAACAATCACACCATAAAAAATATCCAAAAGATTAAACAAACAAGCAAAAAAAAAGAAGTAATTATCTCCTAACTCAAAGATTAAAATGTCAGAAGTACGGCCAGGATAGAACAAATAAAGAAAGAATTTTTTAAGGATTTTGGTATAGGTCCGAATTTGGTTACCACGGTAACGGACACATAAGACAAGTAACGGGGTCGACCGCGATATAACGACTAAAGATCGTTATCACAAAGGCTGATATCAAAAGCAGGCAGCCGAGATGAGAAACTAACGGGAGTATAGGTCCATAAGTGTGGCAAAAGAATATTCTTTTGGAATATTCTTTATGCTTTACCTTTTAGGGTTTTCGGTGAATACCCCTTATAAATAGGAAGAGATAGGAAATAAAGGGGGATCTTCTTCTTCTTTTTCGGAACTTGGAGAAAGAAAATACATTGTAAGAGTTCACAGCAAAGAATATCCAAGAGTTGTCTTATTTGTCGGTAATATTACTGAAGCATAAGTTGTTTTATCTTGATCCATAAACCGAGAAATTCCATATCATCCCAACTTCATACGTTTTCACGTCGCAGATAAAGAAAAGGGACATTCGGATCATATGATAGATGGGTGACAGATCCCTTTTTATCAAATTTGTTGTCATTGCTTACATTTATTGCATATTTACACCATTACATTTATTGCATATTTACACCATTACATTTATTGCATATTCACACCATTACATTTATTGTCAATCATAGTATATCAAATTCATTACTTGATCATATTCTATTTTATCCGGTCTAGAATTTATTAAGTTCAAGTAAAACTCATCCCCTTTAACTCATCATTAATTCGTTTAGCTATTATTTGCTCAAACAATTTGGCGCCGTCTGTGGGAAAATTTTAGTTCCTTCTAGATTGAAAAAAAAACAGCCATCTTTTCTTCGTTTGTGCAAACTGACGATGACAGGAAAAGGAGACGCAAGACTGAAAGCAATAGCAGGCGTCACTACCAACATTTTGAACACCATCAACGAAGATGGCAGGGGGGATAACAAGAACGTAACACCAAACGCTACGCCCAGGCACAGTGCTTCACCTCCCCCTCATGAAAGTGTAAAAGCTTCACGCGAAAGGGGCGCTTCCACGTCTACAGCTGAAGAAGCACCACCAGCAATGAAAAAGTTACTGGAAGAGTGGCTGACAAGCACTCTAAACAACATACTCGACAAACCCGTTCAAAGGGAGAGCGGAACAACGCACCGCCCAAGAATGCCCTACTCCATGGGGGATATTCAGCATCTGAGGCGAACAACGCACCGCCCAAACATGCTAACGTATCGCCCAGGACTGCACATATACCCAACAGCTAAAGGGAACAGACTCAGAAGCATAGCAATCACTGAAGTCGGGGACCGGACCCAACGTACAAAAAGACGTCATCAGGGACCCCAACATCGTGGAAGCCACTGAGTCAACGGTAGAAGACCTCGTTCCTGTCCAACTGGACAGCAACGACGGCAGCAAAAAGGCTTACATCAGACACAAACTCTCAGAACCAGGTAAATTTCACAAGTTTTTAATTAACAACGTCGATTTGTTCGCTTTCTCCCATGCAGATATGCCAGGAATCCCAAAAGACGTTGCCACTCACAAGCTGAACGTCAACCCACTCTATCCACCAGTGCGGCAAATAAGAAGAAAATTCAACGCCGCAATCAACGAGGCCGCAAGTGGATTAGCTTCTCGCCAACGGTTCCATCAGGGAATCAAAATATCCCCAATGGGTCGCCAATGTGGTCATGGTAAAAAAGAAAAACGGGAAATGGCGGATGTGCGTAGATTTCACAGACCTAAACAAGGCATGCCCAAAAGACTCCTACCCTTTGCCTCATATCGACCAGCTCATCGACGCAACAGCAGGGCACGAATTGCTAAGCTTCTTGGACGCCTACTCAGGTGACAACCAAATCCTCATAGAGGAGGATGATCAGGAGAAAACTACTTCCATCACCCATCAGGGAACGTACTGTTACAGAGTCATGCCATTCGGGTTGAAGAATGCAGGGGCAACATACCAAAGGTTGGTCACCAAGAAGTTCAAAGACCAACTTGGCAAGACAATGGAAGTCTACATCGACGACATATTGGACATATCAAAAAGGAAAGCAGACTATATCTACCACTTGAAAGAGGCCTTCGGAATATTAAGGCAGTACGGCATGAAACTGAACCCCGAAAAATATGCCTTCGGCGTAACCTCGGGCAAATTTCTGGATTTCTTGGTGTCACGGAGAGGCATCGAAGTCAATCCAGAACAAATCAAAGCCATTGTTGGGATACCTGAAGTGCTAACCAGCAAGAAGCAGGTGAAAAAACTGACCGGCCGTATAGCCGCCCTGTCGAGATTCATCTCACGGTTGTGGCATATGCCATGTTCTTAAGAATAACTTGATGCAGAGTACAAAGATATTTTATACTGGTGGTAACCAATCATTAAGAAGTTAGCAGGATGGTTATGCTGATTTTAGCAATTTTGCATCGCCCTCAATGTTTTAGATTTACAGGTGAAGCAATGTATCATTTTCCTTGAAGTTGTTTCAACAGTTTTAGCCATAAATGGAACTAATTCTTGAGGTATGCGCACAACTCCATATATAAACACAGAGAACAATCTTTACTCATTCTAAATCTCTTACTTAGTGGAGAAACATTGGAGGTAGCATGTGAATACTAATTATTCTGTTTACACCATATTCTGTCATCTTGCTCTATTGGTATATTAGGAGTACTGTAACTCTCCTTCACTATATTTTCTTTCTAATACAGAAAAGAAAGAAGAAAAGACCATTTATCAATTGCAACACATACTGCTAATACAACAGCTAACGCTAAAATAAAATGTAATATCTTAATTTACTGATTGCTTAATATATACTTATTTCTGTGATGAAAAATGTGTTAATTAGAGATATTCATTACTGCGTCATATGTAAGACACGTACTGTAATTAGCATACATTTGACATTCAAATTCACATAATTGTAGTATCAACATAATCAGCGTAAAAGTGAGAGAAGAAAAAATAATGTCTTAGAGTATGTCACATGGATAACTATGGCTTTTAGTTGCAAAATGTTTAGTGTCAGCACCCTGCTGAATGGTGATGATATCTGTGTTGGTTGCCTTTTTTTCTATGCCCCTCATAGATGCATGACTTTTTAAGTATTATAAATCTTTGTATATGATAATTTGGTAAGTGAAAAAAAGATTAAGTGACGTGGGACTATTTCTTTTATTAAAAGTTGAATAGCTGGAATGGAACTTCATGTTCCAGCGGTAATATTGAGTTAGAGTATGTGGTAATCTGTCCTTATCTTTTGCTGTTGAAATGTAGTTGCTATAACAGTCACACTGAGGCACTAAAGCACTGCAGTTCAGCTGGATCACAGACAACCAATTGAGACGCTACAAACATACCTTCTACTTTATAAATCACTAATATCTACACTCTACACACATTTCATTCTTATTTCTTTTGGTTATTAATGTTTACTTATTTTATAAACGGAAATGGCCTAAAAATGCCACTCAACTTTCAGAAATGGTCTATCCATGCCATCCGTTAAAAAATTGCTATTTCCATGCCACCGCCGTTACACATTTGGCCCATCCATGCCATTATTTGACTAACGGCTCAATTTTTTTTAAAAATTTTTATAACACTCACATTTCCACGTGTCGTGTCGTCATTGATCCGAATTAACCCATGCCCCACTTAATTTTAGTGGTTAGGTCGATTTACCCAAACCCCACCCGGTTAAAATTTGCCCAAATAATTAACTCAACCCAAACCAAAGCTAACCCTTCCAAATCCCCCCTCTCCCGTCATCTTCCCCAAATAAAAAATTGGATTTTTGGTATAAGTTAAAAAACACGACAACAGAGCATTAATGCTATCTTGCTTGATTACCCTTGTTCCTTTTGAGATGTGGTATTCAGCTGGGTCGGAGAAAAAGAAGGACATGGTTAGTCAGATGCAACTCATTACATATATTTCCACGCAATCATGTGAAAAATGAAAGAGCCAATTAATCACCTGGATGTAGAAAGCGCATAACAATGAGTCATGTTTATAAAAAAGGAAAAAAAGTTGATTTTTTCAGAGATGGAGTCTGGAAGGTGAAATCTTCCCACGAAATTGAAAATCGACCAAAAACACATACAAAAGCATCTGTAAGAAGAAGATATTAATACTCCAGCATTATTCTCTTTGTTTGCTGTTGAAGACGTTAGACGAAATAGCATAAATATCTACACTTTCACAATCATAAATTTAACTTGAAATATCAAGCTAGCGATACAATTTTTTCATGGGTTAATTCAAAATTGGATTTTTGATTTGGGGAAGATGACCGGAGAGGGGGGATTTGGAAGGGTTAGGTTTGGTTTTGGGTTGAGTTGATTATTTGGGTAAAAACTTAACCGGGTGGGGTTTGGGTTAATCGATCTAATCGAGGTTAAAATTAAGCGGGGCATGGGTTAATTCGGACCAATGAAGACATTACACGTGGAAATGATAGTGTTAAAAAAATTAAAAAAAAATTGTGCCGTTAGTTTAATAATGGCATGGATGGGCCAAATGTGTAACGGCAAGTAGAAATGGCATGGGGTAGCCACTATTTAAGGTGGTATTTATTTTTTATCCAGCAATTCTAATGTTGAGCAAAACTAGCCACTACCCTATTAAAATTAATATAAAAAGACATTTTTACCCATTCTTCCCTTACTTTTCTTCCCAAACCCTTGCCTCTCTCTCTGCGTGCCTTCTCCATAATCCAAAATTAATGTTTGTCTTCCTCACTATCGAGTAAATTTTTATACAAATTTATTACCAGCACGTATACTTTCATTGGGTATTAACTAATTGAGAGCGTGCACAAATGTTAGAATGTGGTCACTGGTTTTTCTTGGTTTGGAGTTTTGCAAAGTACTTTCATATACACTGTTGCATTGCAAAGTACTTTCATATACACTATTCTTTTATTTTTTTGTCGCCAAGTAGTATAAAGGGGAACCATCATATAGATGTCATATATTTTTGTCTATATATTTTTTCTTTTCAACAGTTGAAATTTGGCTATTCATATTTGCATCAATATGATGGTTCCCCTTTATACTACTTGGCGACACTGTTGCTGGCTAATTGCACGTATCTTTTTTCTTCTTCTTCAGTTTTACCATATTTTCTGAGGAGCCATTTTTGTGTGTTTGCATTTAAGTTATTTTGTGTTAAAATAAATTAAAAGTTAAGGACAATAGGTCCTGAACTTAGGCTAAGAAGCCCAAAAGTTAAGGACAATAGGTCCTGAACTTAGGCTAAGAAGCTCAAAATTAAGGACAAGCAGTCCTTAACTTACAGTTACAAGTTCAAAAGTTAAGGACAATAGGTCCTTAACTTTGATTTCCAAGTTCAAAAGTTAAGGACAGACAGTAGTTACAAGTTCAAAACTTAAGGACAATAGGTCCTTAACTTTGATTTCCAAGTTCAAAAGTTAAGGACATACAATCCTTAACTTACAGTTACACATTCAAAAGTTAAGGACAAGCAGTCCTTAACTTACAGTTACAAGTTCAAAAGTTAAGGACAATAAGTCCTTAACTTTGACTTACACGTTCAAAAGTTAAGGACAAACAACTTCAAAAGTTAAGGATAATAGGTCCTTAACTTTGACTTACAAGTTCAAAAGTTAAGGACTCTTGGTCTTGAAGTTTGAGTTCCAAGTTCAAAAGTTAAGGACATGTAACCTTGAAGTCCTGAACTTAGAGTTCCAAGTTCAAAAGTTAAGGACATATAGTCCTGAAGTCCTGAACTTAGAGTTACAGGTTAAAAAGTTAAGGACATGTAGTCTTGAAGTCCTGAACTTAGAGTTTCAAGTTCAAAAGTTAAGACATGTAGTCCTGAAGTCCTGAAGTTAAGGACATGAGCAGAAGGGTATTTTCGTCCGGGCAGTTAAAGTTTATTAAACCAGTGGCTAAAGACTAAAGACATTTAAAACACTGACTTTAAAATAAAGACATGAGCTGTTAGTGGCTATTTGTGCACATCGCCCTAACGGCAATGGCATGGAAATAACAATTTTTTAACGGATGGCATGGATAAACCATTTCTGAAAGTTGAGTGGCATTTTTAGGCCTTTTCCGTTCTATAAAGGTACTGAAAAGCTACTTATATTCCATGATTTTTGGCAAAGTCGGCTACGAAGCTTTGGACTGCCGCTCTTGATCATAGAAAATGATGAAGTCTGACGTGCTTGTGATGTCTTTGTAGATGTAAATATTTCTTTATGGTTTTTGGTATACTTGTGATATTTGCACATATTGTGAATAAAATTAGAGCCGTCAATATGGGCTTGGTCCGTTGGGCCGGCTCAGCCCGTGGTTTATCAGGTTTTTTTGAGCCCATTTAAAAACGGGGCTTTTAAGCCCGGCCCGAGTAAGCCCGTGGCCCTTGAGGTTTGACTGAGGCTGGGCTGGGCCGGCCCGTGGGCCTAATAAAAATACGTATTTAAAATATATAAAATATAAAAAGTAAGACACAAAAATAACAACAAGAGTATCCCAAGCTTAAAATTTATTAAGCTCATTATATTAAAAGATCAAAGTCTTAAAACGTTAATTAGTTTTAAAAATTTGTAATTATTCTTAATATTTAACTAATTAATATTGCAACGAATTGTAGATGTAGATGAAAGTGAAGATGTTAAGACAACCTTCTCACAAGCGGATTCAAATGTATTTGATGAAGATAATGTGTTGGATATCCCATAAGTGTCATGGACGTTCTCTTGAATAGTTTGTTTTGAGTTTTGACTTTTAGTGAATGAAATAATCTTGTCTTTTACTCTTTTTTAGTGTTTATTACTCCCTCCGTTCCAATTTATGTGAACCTATTTAACTGGACACGAGTTTATGAAAAAAAGAAGACTTTTGGAATTTATGGTTCTAAACAAGTCAAAAAAGAGTCCAGAGTATTTGTGTTGTTATAAAAGTTTCTCATTAAGGGTAAAGTTGGAAGTTTAAGCTAAATTATTTCCAAATTAAGAAAGGGGTCATTTTTTTTGAAACGAACCAAAAAGAAAATAGATTTACATAAACTGGAACGGACTGAGTATAATATATTGGAACAATATAAAAAGTTATAAAGTTTTGTGAAATTTTTCCAATAAGATTTTTTTAACTTTTAAATATTTATCTTTTTTTTAGGTTAGAACTTAAAGAAAAAATATAAAAATTATATTTTAAAAAATGATGGGCCGGCCCGTGGGGCCCGCAGCCCACATAGGACTGGGGTGGGCTGGCCATTATAAGGCCCATCAAAATGGTGGGCTAGCCCAGTCCAGCCCGTCAATTGCTAAAGCCTACGTGGACTGGGCTGAACTAGCCCGGCCCCGCCCATATTGACAGCTCTAGATAAAATTATCCTATTATGCCAATGTTGTCTGTTTGGAATATATATAGAAAAGTATCATGTTCTGCTTATAGTACAAAGTTTTGGGCAATAATTTATTTTGATTTTATTAAGGGGAGGTTTTCTATGAGTATCAGAACATATGGTTCGGTTAATAATTTTAGCTATATATAGTTCAGTCCATAGTTTTAAGTTTTTTACTGCGTTCTTATCATTACTACCTCAAAACATCATCTTATTAGCCATATACCAACGAAGTTGCTCCAAGATGCACCCTACTTGATTTCTAATCAATTGAGTGTGTCGGTTTATGTAAATGGGGAATGGACATCGTCGGACCCCTCCCAGCGGGTGAGGTAAGATACGTTTTCTTTTGGTTTTAACTGACTACTTTTCTAAATGGGTAGAAGCAGGTGCATTCACCCAAATACGCGAATAGGAAGTCATCACATTCATATAGAGAAACATCACATGCCGTTTCGGCATCCCTAAAGAAATCAGCTGTGATAATGGGCCCCAGTTCACCAGGAAAAAGACCACCGATTTGCTGTTCAAGTAATACTTTGTTGGCAATGAAATTTTAATTTTAGTTTCCTTAATTTTAGGTTGACTGAATTCTCCGTCGTTGTTTTCATGCGTTGAAAGCGCTGGATCGATTTCAGCGGGTGGCTTTCTTTTAGATGTCAATGGACTTTCGAAATGTATATATTAAGATATGGATTTCTCTACTATTCTATTACACATCTTACTGAAGAATAACAATCCCTAAAGTGTTAGCTGTTGGAATGCATCCATGTTAGTAGGAAAAAGGTACTTTTCCTTTGTGAAATAATCAATGGTGTACTAGCAGTTTGTAAATTTTGTTAACTAATAAAAAGCTTTCTTAAAATTTAAATGCGCTTTATATGGATGGCACTGAAATTCCTAATTGTTTGGAGGCCGGATGGCTCATCTTTCTCAAAGAAGTTTGTATGATGTATCCTCTCATGGTGC